AGTAATATCTTGTTATAGTTTTAATTTGTGTTATCCTTAAAGTTAATGATGTTGAGCATCTTTTCATGTAAGTTTTATAAATTACTATATCTTTTTTTATGTTTGTATGAGTACCTTGCACATTCTTCTTAGTATATATTTTTATTACTGAGTTGAAGGAGCTCTTTATGTAATCTGAATTACATAAAGATAATACATAATTTTATTGTGAGCTTTTTAAATTTTTTAATGTTGTATTTTTAGGAGCATGAGTTTAATTTTGAAAGAATATAACACTATTTTTATGTGGTTAGAGATCTTATGCTTTCCCAGTAATATAAAGATATTCTTCTGTGCTTTCTTTTTTAAAATTTATGTGAATATTTATTTATTTACTATTTTATTATTAAATTATTTATTTATTCTAATTTGTTATACATGATGGCAGAATGCAATTCATCTCATTATACATATAGAGCACAATTTTTCAAGTCACTGATTGTGCACAAAGTATTTTCACACCATTCCTGTCTTCATACGTGTACTTAGGGTAATGATGTCCAACTCATTCCAACATCTTTCCTATCCTTTTGCCCCCTTCTTTCTCCTCTCTCCCCTTACTCCCTTTTGCCCTACCTAAAGTTCCTCCATTCCTCCCATGCTGCACCCTCATGGCCATTATGAGTCAGCATCTCATATCAAAGAAAACATTCTGCCTTTGTTTGAGGGGGGGATTGGCTTACTTCACTTAGCATTATATTCTCCAACTCCATCCATTTACCTGCAAATGCCATGGTTTTATTCTCTTTTAATGTTGAGTAATGTTCCATTGTGTATATATACCAAAGTGTCCCTATCCATTCATCTACTGAAGGGCATCTGGGTTAGTTTCACAATTTAGCTATTGTGAATTGTGCTGCTATAAACATTGATATGGCTGTGTCCCTGTAGTATTCTTTCAGGGAATGTACTGGGAAAAGAGAACTACCAAATTATGCTATATCCATGTAGGAATATACCAGGAAGAATCCCAATTATATATGTAGTTATAATGCACTTATTAAAATAATAATAACAGAAGGTAAATCAGCACAGCAAGCCAATAAGGATGAGAAAGGAGTGGAGTGAAAGGGAAAGTACTAGGAAATGAGATCAATCAAATTATGCTATGTGCACATTAAAAAATGGCATAATTAATCCCACCATTATGTATAATAATGCATCAATTAAAATAAATCAAAAGGAAGTTCTATAAGTTAAATCAAAGGCATTTCTGACCCCAAACACTTGAAGAAGCTCTGGGATAGAGCATATCCAGCATCTCTTCTATATACTATAACTATTTGGATTTATAATACATAGAGTCAAGTGAGGAAACTATTCTGTAAAAATATTTCTGGGTTAATATTATATATGTATAGTAAGTTTACTATGTGTGCCATTTCTAATTATAAAACATAATTTTACAGCAGTGAATTTGAAGTCTAAAGAAGTTCATTTGTAAGTTAAGAGCAAAAAGGAGGTAAATGATTGTTTCTATCCACAATTGGTCCCTTTATGTAAATGCTATGATGTAATAATAGTGAATATCTAGAACATCATCATTTTAAAAGTTTGACTTGTAGTATCTTTGATTGAATCCTTCCAGGGAAGAAAATTCTACTACCTTCCTAAATAGCCTACTATTGTAACAAATTGTTCCTTAAAGGAAACCAACCATTTGTGAATGTTTATGGAAGGCTAACAACAAGGTAGGCATTGCCTCAAATGTCACACTGGGCAAGTTCCTCCTGATAATCAATCTTATGAACACAGCAATGAACTAAATAGGTTTAATATAAACAGATGTTTATTGGACAGAATTGACCTCAAAGAGAAGCATTATATAATATATATATATGTATATATGAGCACATACACAAAAAGGAGAGTATATATATATATATAAATTCTTCTTTGTGATGAAATATATGTATATAATTAATAATAATGTAATATATATATATATATATATATATATATATATATATATACACACATATATGTGTGTCTGTGTGTGTATTATCCTCACAGGATATTTTGAAATATCACTTGATTATTGCTTAATGTAAATGTTCAGGATTGATGGTGGATGTTTTAGCCTGGGATTGCCAGAAAGCAGAATGAGAATTTACTGAAAATATTTTACTGGGGAGTGACATCCCAGAGAGCATATAAAGACAGAGGAAGAGAACCAGGAAAGGATAGAGAACCAGGGAAGATGTGCTATGCAGCAGGCCACTGCTTCAAAAGAACGGCTACTTCATTCAGCAAGGCCATCTGCAAACTGTATGTCATAGGTCAGGATCCTTCACTTCAGGATGGAGAGCAGAGCATGTATCCATAGTTTCCCATCTGCCATTGTGCAAAAATTTACCACAAAGTATCTAATCTTTCACACCTTTAGGTTTCAGTTTATAGTGAATTTTCAACCAAAAATACCTTGGGTGGGAAGTGAACTGCCAAAGCAGCCCAGGGCAAAGCACCGTCAGATTGTATCTATGTGAAGCTGGTCAGAGCCAACAGAGAAATGTTTGCCTCTGCAAAAGGGACAGAAAAAGCCCAGGGAATTTGAAGTGAAGCACAGGAGGTGTGATACAGGCCACTAACATGATTTTATTATAGTTTTCAGATTTTGGGGGGGAGGGGGCTTCCTTTCCAGTGAAGACTTCAATATATCTACCTTAGATTCTCAAGTTTTCATTTGTTCTTTCTTTGAATATTTACAAATATACATTGAGTGTGCCAGGCTTTGTGAAAGGAGCTGGGGGTAAAAATGGAGTATGATAAACAAATTCTCTGCTGTCATAAAGCTCCCTATTTGATCAACTCTGTGCTTTCAACAGTACTTGCACATAGTAGGTTATTTTTGAAAGAAATGAAACAATATCCTAATATTATGGGGAGTATTAGCACAATGAGTATTAAGTATTATGCAAATTTGAAATGACCAGAGGGATGCCCTACCAGATAAATCACTTTATGATCCTTGCAGTCAGTCTTACCTACCAGCTGTAATGGCTTATTTCTGCACTGGGAGTACAGACTGTTTACTTTATTATCTATGAGCTGCCTAGGGAAAGGGAGGCTGAAATTTAGACAGATTTCTGTACTTATTGGTAAGATGTCTCTGAGGCATAAGAGAACATTTGGAGAAACTGAAATTCAGGAGCCTTACCAAATAGCAGTGGCCACTCCTCCACTCACCTGGCAGACTTCCCAGGCAGAAGGTGGAAGACGCCCTGTCTCACTGCCAGCACTCCTTCCATGAGCATCCCAGTGGCCAAACAACTACCAGCTGACTCTTCCCAAAGTGCCTGATTTCAGGAGCCAACTCCTTCCAGCACTTCCACAGAAGCACTTGGGTGGGAAATACATTGATTCATTAAAATCTTTGATGCAAAGTTAGCTGTGTTTTGTTGGTCACAAGGAAAATGCCATGTCAGGGACATATTTATATGGCAATAAACTTTTAATGCCCTAGAAAGCAGATGAATTATAATAAAATCAGAATACAATTAGACAGCCGACATTTTAGAGTGCAGGTAAATTTTCTTTGCCCTATACGTGGTTTTCTTCAGCCCAGATCCATCTTCTGGCCTTCTGACAATGAAACCCTTGGTAACATCATGCTTATTGCTTCTGAATTAGCTGATGTATGGGGTGCTGACACTATTCCTTAATATTCCCATTAAACTCTCAGGGAAGAGGGATCAGAGCATGCCATGTGCTTTATGGGGGCAGTCAAGGCTGCTGGCTGCTGGAGTCTTTCAAGGGGCACTCCCCACTCTCCAGGAGCCTGGAGAGCCTTTGTGTAGCTGCTATGAAAACAAGTCCCAGGCCTAGAGGTTAAAGACCAGAAAGGTAAACTTAGTGGGCTGTTCAAAGGGCTTGATCTAGTGACTAAGCACATAGTCCTTCAGTAGTAACCCCTACCTCACTCCCCAAAGAGAGTTTCCTGGTTCAAAAAGAAAGTTTTCCTCTGAGAAAGAGATCTGCAAGCCTGGCCCTCCCCTGGAGCCAACTGTGCTGGGAAGAAACTATCTGAAACAGGCAACTCATGGGTTTACAGGCTTGCATTAGAGACAGATGTGAGGAGTGTGTGTGTGTGTGTGTGTGTGTGTGTGTGTGTGTGTGTGTTATGTGTGTGTAGTGGGGTGGGTGAGAATGGCAAGTGGGTAGTGTTAGACTTGCCTACTACAAGGGGAAGAAAGGAAAAAGTGCAAGAACACACATTGTGGGGGAGGAATGTGTCCTCCTCCACAGCAGCATGGGATGACGACTGCTTTGGTGGGTAGTATGGCCAGGGAGTGTGAATATGGCAGAAGTTATTGGAACAGGAGGACTTATAGTTGGAATTGCAAATCATGAAGCCCCAAGTCACTCACTCATCCCCTCCACATCTCCACAGTATCGTCTCTCTATTCACACAATCAATGTTTTAAGAAAACTTGGGGTCAAAGGAGAACATAATCCCATATGTCGCTAGTTTAACTCCCTCCTCTACAAGGTAATAGACGACCCCCAGGTTCTAAAACCATGTGGAAGCCTGTCTGTAAAGAACAGTTTTGTAAAGAGAAACTGCATTTTTTGATGGTATAGTCTTCATTCTACCAACTAGCTTTGAGGCCAAAGGTAACCAATTTTAATCTCGCTTTGCCTCAGTTTCCTCGTCTGCCCTAGAGGAGTAATGTGCAATATCCAATCTCTCTCTCTCTCTCTCTCTCTCTCTCTCTCTCTCTCTCTCTCTCTCTCTCTCTCTCTCTCTCTCATATCTATCTATCTATAGGGCTGGGAGGGGGGAGAGGGGTCAGACGAGGTGCTGTATGATCTCTCTGAAGCGGGCACCATGCTCTTCCCGCAGGAAACCACGTTTGCGTTATCCTCAAGCCCAGAAAGAGGGGTGGAGGAAAACTGAAGCTCTAAAATTAGTCCGGCTTCCAGACCCGACGCCGGGAGCGCCCTCCAGCTTGCCGCGTCTCCCCCGCAACCCCCCTCCGCTCGCCCCTCTTCCGCGCGCCACGCTCGGAGATCACTAGTCATCCCCGACGCGGATGCTTCTCTCCCCCTCGCCCCTTTCGCTCGCGGTTTGGGAGGAGGAGGTAGCGAGCGAGAAGAGACAGGGGGAGACCAATGTGGGGCTTGGCGGTGCGTTGGCGTGGGCTGTGATGGGGAACCCTGAACAGCTACGCAGAGAGCAGTAGCGGCGGCGGCCGCAGCTCAGAGCAGACACGAGAGCCGACGCTACTCCCGGCAGGCTGCGCTGTGATCGGGGCTGCGGATTGGGATCTCGAGCCCCAGTCTCTCTCCTCCCGCTGCCATTCTCTTCCCGGCTCCCCTCCTCCGACTGCAAACCCGCGGCAGTGTCGGCAGCGTCCCGAGCGCCAAGCGCCGAGCGCCTCCGCTCGCTCTGTGCCCCAGTCCCTGCGAGCGCGCGGCGGGCACTGCGGCGGCAGCGGTTGGGTGTCCGGCTCGCCCTAATCAAGAGCACTTGCAAAGAAAGACCACGGGGAAAGCGCCTGGTGGAACGGTGGATCGCCAGCGGTGGCAAGGGTGCGTGGAGATTTTAGCGTGTTTGTTTGACTGCCTGGGGCACTGGCTGGAGCGCTCCTTTTGGAGCACAGCCCCAGCTGCTGGGTGCAAATGGGCTCTGAGGTGGACGCGGGGAAGCAAAAGCCGGCAGAGCGCGTGGGGGAAACTTTTCACCTTGTAAAGTTCCTGCCTAGGCAGCCCAAAGCCATGGTCACCGCAGATGCGAGTAGGAAAGAGGAGGCTCGGCCCTGAGGCTGGATCCGGCAGGTTAGCAAGGAGAGTTGGCCCAGGGTGGGTATAAGGATTTAGGGAGAGGGTGAGAAGGGCCTTCCAGATCGGTGCACCCATCTCTGAACAGCCATCTCCAGCCCCGGCTGCCCGCCTGCAGGTGGATGAGAAGATGTAGTCAGCAAGGTTCTTTGGTAGCTGGTGCTTGCTGAGCGCAGTGGGAATAAGATGCCAATGCACTCACTTAAGGGACCTGGAGGCTCAAGTCGGGTCCTTGGTAGAGGAGACACCTTGCAGATTAGATCCCCGCCTTTACTTTAACTAGATAGGGTTGCGGGTTACCAGACAGCCTGGAGATCCACTCCCTGTGTCTGAGTCTGGCTTGCAGAGTTCGTGGGCATAGTGAGATGTACTGAATGGCAGCGGCCTTTGAACTGGGGGAGACAGCCTTTGCAGAGTAGACAGGAGGGGAGACAGTTTCTATAATTCGGATAGGGAGAGGAAAACGGAATGCTTTGGGAAAGTGCAGGATTTTTTGGCGGGCGTATGGTTAAGCCGGCTTGTCTTCCAAAAGAGAATAGTGCAGATCTGATCATACTGGGAATGCGGAGCAGACTTCTCCGGAGTAGGTGTGGGAACCTGAAGGCTCACCAGTTAAGCGCTCACCCTTCAGGTGCAGAGTATACCCTCTTTGGAAGCGGCTAATGTGTGTGCAGGACTGGTGTGGGGATCTGAACGACGCGGGCGGGAAGGCAGCAGAGGTGGCCTGGACCGCTTTCTCTCGGCGTTTGGTGAGTGAAAGGATTCGGCCAGTGGGGGTCGCTGAGCTAAAGTGCATCTGGCCCCTGGGTTTGCGCGTGGTGGCGAGCCCGGATATTTTTAGCAGTGCTATGGTCTGTCTTTCCCCCTCCTCTTTCGTTCTGACTTTTGTCGTGTATGATTTCTGAAATGGAGAGATATTGGCGATGATTAGACTTAACAGAAAGCAACTTTTCACTTTTCGCCCTCCCACACTCATGGGCGGGGTCGCGCCTGGGGCAAGAACGAGGTGGTGGTAGGAGTTTGGCCGCGAGCTTAGGACCTCTAGGGTTGCAGGAGATGAGAAGAAAGGCTACCGCTCCTGGTGTGTGTGTGTGTGTGTGTGTGTGTGTGTAGGCGCGCGCACGCCGGCGGTGGCATCCTGAGGCTGCAGCGAGGTGTGATGGTGTGTTAATGGGGACAAACAAGGGTTTGGGAGAAGAGTGTTCTCTGTATGGATGTAAAAAGATGAAGAGGCTGCGGAGAAGAGAAGGTCGCCATAGGGGACTAGGAGAGGCAGCCACGAGGGAGAGGAGCCAGCGGGTCGCAGCGTGGAGACCAGTGGCCTTCACACTCTGAGCCTGGCAGACTCGTTCCTCCAGGGCTGGAGCTTCATTTCATCGCTGCCCGCGCACGCTGACTGGGACTCCACTTAGGGCTTTCGGCGAACCTGCCGCAGTCGCCGCCCGAGGGAGGGACGCGGGACAGAGCTAAAGACTGAAGAGTCTTTTCTCCGGTTCCCTCCTCCCCGCCCCCAGACTCAGGCGCGTTTGTTCCCAAGTTGGATCCCACTGCCATTTACAAGTGTCAGACAAACCCGCGCTAACCTCCCCCACTCGCTCAGGCCCAGCCAGATGGGGGAGGGCGCGCCTGGAGAGGGGACCGAGCTCTCGGCAAGGCACTTAGCTACAGGCGACGCTCCCACCCGGGGTTTGAGCGGTTTGGGTTCCTATTTGTTGGTCCTTGGTGTTTAAAGATGTACATAACACAGCGGAACCACTCCTGGACACTTGTATTGCACCGCTTTTCTCTTCCTGGCCTCCGACATATTAATTTTCTGGCCCCGATGCTTGTCTGTTTCAAAGACTAGTCCCGGTGTAGGGAGGAAGGGGGCGGGGAAGCTTGCCGACCAGTTCATCTTAGTGGATTTGTGCTCCTGGCTTTGTTGCTAGGATTACATTCTCTGATTGCACCCGGGCCGAGTTAAAATAAATGCAGAGAGGCTGAGAACCTCCATAAAGACTGCAGATGACTTTGCTTTGATTCAGAAGGCAAATTCAGGTAGTGAATAGGGCTAGCCTTCCATCTGGGAATTGAGCACCAAGATACCCACATCTCAGTGTGAATCAAAGAGAGCCCAAATTTCGTCTCCAGTGGCAGGCATGGAACTTCTCTTCACCTTATCGGATGGGGACGCTCAAATGAGGTTCTAGTGTGACGTGGAGATTTGAATCTAATCAGAAAAGAAAAGGAGAGGATGGAGGAGAGAGAAGGGAGAGGAGATTAAAAGATTGAGATGCTGCACAATTCTAGAAATTGCATAGAACCAATTGCTTCTACTTTTTTTTCTTTTTTAATTCCTAAATTGGTGCAGTTGAACGGTGAGAGAATAAAGAACAGCCAAGAAAACAAGGGCGCCAGGAGACAAAGACCAAAAATATGCGTAATAACCAACTGTTTGATGTGCTTTTTATCTAATAGATTTGGAGTGGGAGTGAGAGAAGGTTTTTTGTTGTTTTTTAACAATTTACAAGGAGGAAAAAAAAAGTTGTCTCTTCGAATTAAACCGAATGCTGCTATTCAATCATGAATCCCTGTTGTTGCTATTTTGGAACTTGGACAATGGATGATGCTGGAGCCAGTTTCTATGCACACTGCACTGGGATGAAAAAGTTCCCAGAACTGTCCAGTTATAATGTCTTCATATCTGAACCACACAGAGAACTCCACATGAAAGGCAGTTGGCTCAGAGATCAGAAATTGGTCAGCTGCTGGGCTTGCTCCATTTCTTTTCCTAGCAGGATTTTCACAGCCAGTGATAGTTGACCAGAGATTGACTCTCAACCTTTTTCTTCTTCTTCTTCTTCTTCTTCTTTCTTTCAATTTTTTTTTATTTTGGTTCCTGGCAATCAATCATTCTGGGGATTTTTAAATAATCAGGACCAAGTCTGTCTGTTAACTAGCGATTACACTTGTGCTGAGCTACAGGAAGGAAGGAAGGAAGGAAGGAAGGAAGGAAGGAAGGAAGGAAGGAAAGAAGGAAGGAAGGGAGGGAGGGAGGGAGGGAGGGAGGGAGGGAAATGAGAAGCAATAAACAGACTGGATGCCCACTGGCCTGTACATGATGTGATTGTTTTGTTAGCCCAAAGGTTTTTGTAAAGCAGGGGCTCATATGGCTGCTCTAGTAAGAACAGTTTGGTGCATCAGGTTATGTTATTTTCTGCTTTCTTCTCATGCTGCAGAAAAACCTGCTCTCATCTGGCTGATGACTTATATCAAATAGAAAAAAAAAGTAGGCAATTACCATTAAGGAGAGGGTATTCATTCATTTCTAGTGAGTATGAAGAGCGCCCTCCATAGTGGTTGTGTTGTTATGTTAATGGCTCATATCCCCCCCCACACACAAAACAAACAAACAAACAAACAAACAATCACTGTGGCTTTATCTTACCCTTAAAATTTGTGGAGTTGGGAATAGAGAGCCTTCATACCCAACACCTGTCCAGCTGACTGGTGGGTTGGCTTTTTTTCTCTGAGGCAAAAGGGAAATGGATACTATTGGGGATGTTTGGTTTCCTACATTGTGGATCATTCCCAGGCTGTTATTGTTGTTGTTGTTTTTTCCTTCTACAGGAACACTGAATAGTAAAGCATATGTTCTACCTTACAGGATCAGGTAGAACAGTTCACTCTAATAAAATTCCTTTGATTGCTATAGAAAAACCTAAAGAAGAGCTTGTGTTGTCTACTGATTGTGGAAAACACCAAAGTTAGAAAGAGAATCTGAAAGCAAGGGACTTAGAGGAATAAACCTGTGTTTTGCCCAGTTTCTTCCTTGAGAGAGCAGTGCTGGGCACAGTAGTGAGGTGGCACACACCTGTATCTACTGAGACTGAGGTAGGAGGACTCCAAGTATAAGTCCATCCTGGGAAACTTTGAGATCCTGTCTCAAGAATATACAAAGAGCTGGGGATGTTGTCCAGTGGTAGAGTGGCACTGGGTTTAATTACCAGTACCAGAAAAATAGAAATAAAAAGTCAAACTTTGATTTCCAGAGACATGTAGGTGTGTCTTAAAAACATTAAAAGAACAAACACAACCCAGTGTATTTTGCTTTGTATAAAATTTTCTGTAAGCCTCTTTTGATCTCTATTTGATCTCTATTTGTCACTTTCAGCATCTTTTTACCAATTGTGAGGCAGGCTGGGGATATTTTTTATAGCTTGACCTCTTAAGAATCACCACAGCATCCACTGTGAAGACTCTGAGAGTAAATATTTTTCCTGCACTTTGGTCAATTTGCGTCAATGGGCTTTTCAAATTTATTGATTTTTAAAAAGTATTTTCTCATTTAATAAGCTTTTTATCCTTTCATGTTTTTTTTTCATTGCTTCCTTTCCAAAAATAATAAGTTTGTCTTTCTTTTAAAAAATCAGCTTAATGATGCAGATTGAATTTATCCAGAACATATTTGACACTGGTCTATGGCTTAAAGCCAGTTTTGGGTCTACCAAAACAGACTGTCATTTACATATAACAGTGACAAATGACCCATTCTAGTCATTCTGAATTGGAATGGCATTCCCAGGCTAATCTTAATTTTAGTCTATTCTATGTTTGTAGTCGTTTCCCCTCTATTAAGTGGAAGGAATGCAAATATGAGAATGGGTTTACTGTCATGATGATGGTCAAAGAAAATTCAGAACAGATTTTAGAAGTTAATGATCAAACTCTCCATATAATCAGAGTTAACTTCTTCATCAGTTTGGTGTATA